AACTGGAAAGGCTTTTGCAAAGCTGAATGGTGCTTCAACTTTCTGTTCCTCTGCCAGCTGTTCAAACATGCTCATGAAGGCACCGAAAGGGCCTTCAAAGTCATCTTTTGTGTATCGGTTTAGGGAGGTGGTAGTACCGCTGCGTGGGCGTTTAAGCGAGGGGGGGCCCTTAGGCCGAAAGATAGGTGATAACCCACTCTGTGAAGCCCCGTCAGGCTGTGTGGGAGGTTGTGGAATGAGAGGGGGTGATGACCCCATGATGGAAGTGATGAAAGGAAACTTTGACCCCGGTCAGGCCAAAGAAAGGTATCGTGGTGGATAAGATAATTCCCTGGAATGTAAGAAAGGGTGTCCGAATTTAATCTAAGTTTATTTATACTCGTCGCGCCAAAACATGGCTTATGATCGAGCGCCCCCCCGACAGGAGCTTAACGCCGGTCGGGATCCACCGATGGGACTAGGGTCCTGCTACCCTCGCTAAAAACAGGCAACTAAATACAAAATACCAAAACCTCCGAACCCAAACTATCCTGACCCATTGGAGACACCAAGGCAACCCCACAAGCCAACACTCCCGCCAGCAAGCAACACACGAAAGCTAAGTACAAGTCCATCAACAGTTCTAGCACCCACCCGTCCCACCTAGCCAGGCCACGGGAATCCCAGCACAATCAAAAAATCACTACCACCGGCAGTATTACCCTGGCCTCGCACCAAAATTCCTCATAATATCATAATAAATAAAATCATAGGTATCCCAACCTATGTAGAGTCGTCCATGTCCACCTCTTCCTCATGTTCCTCCAAAGCCACAGATTCTTGGGTATCTGGACGGGGGCGTGAAGGGCAGACAGGTGAGTGTGATTCGTGTGGGCCATCACAGTTCACACACCTGGGTGTGGTATAGCTGCAGGGACGGCCGCGAAGGCGACAGGTAGCGGTGGGGCAGGAGTGATCCCCAGTAGAATGCAGGAGGAGGCACCAGCAACAGGAGGCTGGCAAGATGCATTTGATACTATGGTGTCCAAACTTGTGGCAGTTGGCACACTGGGTGTATTTATTGAAGCGTAAACGGCGTTCGGTACGGTAGGTATTGGAGAAGTCAGAGAGGCGTTTGCCAACAAAGGAGGGAGCCTTAGGTCCAATGATAGAAATAACAACAGTTGAGGCAAGTTTGCCGATTCGTGCTATATCGGAGGTAAGCCACCTAGGCTGTTCGGTGAGAGATAGGCCTGAGTTGAAGGTGGTGAGTTCTTGGGCAAGCGATGCCAGAGAGGTAGAGGTAGCAATGCCATGTACCAGAAGCTGGGTGGCAGGGGTATCGAGGTGGACGGTAGAGGCACCAGGGATAAGGTGCAAGAAGGGACCAACTTTGCTGTTGACAGTTGTGGCTCTGATCGTGTCCATAGTGGTGAGGGTAACATGTCCATCCCAGAAGGAGACAGACTGGATAAGGGTGGAGGCCAAGGCCTGGTTGATGCTGTCGCGTAGCTGTACAGCAGTAGCGGTGAGGGGGGCAGCGTCTCGTTTGACAATGAGCCGACGCTCACGCATGGTGAGGCCCTTTTTCTTTTCGGTAAGGGGCTTAGCCGAGGTAGAGGAGGATTTGGCTGGCTTGGGGCCAGGCTTTGCGGGTTTCTGAGAAGGCTTCCTTGTTCTCCTAGCGACAGTAGCCCAAGAAGGAGGGGCTGCAGGGCCGGGAGGTTGGGTCTGGGGAAGGGGAGGAGGTGGAGGACAGACAGAGGGTTGCTCTGTAGTATTGGTGGTAGGGGGTACCGGCGGGGCAGTGGTAGGAGCAGGCTGAGAGGGGATGGAGGCGCGAAGGTCGTCCAGTTCCTCAGTAAGGGCGGTGATGTGCTCGGTTAGCCCATCAGTCGCCTTCCTGTAGTCTTCGTGCAAAATTTGCATCATGTGGATCATGATAGGGAACGCTTTCGCAAACGAATTTGGTGCTGTGTGTCCCTGTGACTCAAAGAACTCGTCGAACATGCTTATGAAAGCCCCGTTGGGGTTATCAAAGTCATCGCTTGAGTATCGTGGTAAAGAGGTGGTGGTGCCGCTGCGTGGGCGTTTAAGCGAGGGGGGGCTCTGAGCCCGAAAGATAGGTGATAAGCGACCCTGCCCACAAAACTGTGAGGCCCCGTCAGGCTGGGTGGGAGGTTGCGGAACGAGAGGGGGTGATGACCCCATGATGGAGATGATGAGGAGGAACTTTGACCCCGGTCGGGCCAAAGAAAGGTATCGTGGTGGATAAGATAATTCCCTGGAACGTAAGAAAGGGTGTCCGAATTCAATCTAATTTTATATTTATACTCACGCGCGCCTTACAGGCTTATGCTACGAGCGATCATCTCTCATACACCCACCATAAGGGCAGGCGGG